CAAAGGCGCTAGCGGAAAAAACAGAAAGGGATGGGGATTTGGGTGTGGGAGGATGCCTACCCGGACCCTTTCATTCCCAGAGCCTGGCTGCCGATGGCCCCAAACCAGCAGCCGAGAGTGGGGCTCATCCTCTGGGAGGAAACCACTTTCCTGGGGTGGGAGGAAGCCCACGGTAACAACCCAAAGAAAGTCCATTTAAGGACTGCTGTAAGGTACAGCACAGCTTTGCCTTTCACGCTCCTGGATTAAAGGGTTCGGTGGGTTTTTCCCTCCGTTGCCATGCCTGTAATAGTGTTAGAGTGGCGCGAGTTAATTTTTCACCTTGCCCTTAGGGACATCTAGAAAATATTTTGGCTCATCCCCAGCCCGTCACTTGACATTGCTTTTTTGCAGCGATGACCATGCTGGGTCCTTGCAGCATAACAGAACCACCGATTCCCCCCTCCTCCCCACCCCCGCCCAGATCCAAGCTGGTTTTGGAGCAGCTTTCGCCCGAGCACTGAACTGGATGGATGCTCCAATGGGGCCGTGCTGCAAGGGACGGCCGAGCCTGGCATTAATGCGAGATAGGGATGGGCATTATCGCTGTGTTGGGGGGCCGGGAGCACCTGGTCCCCATCCAGCATAGCCAAACCGCATGGCCCTGGCTATGTGTCTGCTGCCTCCGAGCCCTGAGGGGCTGCCCTGGGGGACAGGGCATGGACAGGAAGGGGACGGGTGTATGGGGTGCCCCTGAGGAGAGTGGCTCTCTCCTGCCCTGGAGCCATGTGCAGCTCTAGCCCATGGCTGCTGACCCCCTCCCCAGCGCTGCCAGCACCCAGCAGCTGGAGCGGGGGAGACAGGCTGTGGCCAGCATCACCCCACTCTCTTTCATGTCATGGGTTTTTCCCCATACAGGCTTATTTGTGTTGGACATCACGAGATGTTTCCAACGCTAACAGTGAAGCTCTGCATGGTCAAAGGAGCCAATTAAGTGAAGGAGAGAGCAGACATACAAGGAGGTGGCTGAGAAGGAATCGGTATCTCATTTTGGGAAGGAGCATCATGCCCAGAGACCCCAGGGCTCTCCTAGGCCACTCAGGCATGTCAAGGGAATTTTTTTCTTTTTCTCCAGGGAATTTTTCTTTTCCCCACAGCAGTGGCAAGGATGCAATCAAGAGGTGAGAAACACGTGGAGAAGCTTCCATGGATCAGTGGCTCATTGGGGTGGGCTCACTCTGGATTAATCTCAGATGCCAGTAAGATTTCAGCATATGCTTACAGGCTTCAGTGAAACAACACTAGAGACACGTTTCTCCATAACTTCTCCTAGTGAAGAAGGGAAAATGGTTGTCACAGTGTTACTGAGTGCTAAAGTTTATTTCTACTTGCTCAGTCCATGGGGAATGTGATCTCCCTTTGCTACTGCATCAGCAGGCATCAGAAGTGCAATCTGAAAATTTGGTCGCTCTCTCTTTAGGTTAATCACAGACCGCTTTTTTTTTTTTTAAGTAAGTACTCTACTCCAACTACTTCCTTCTCTAAAAAAATGAAAAGTTATAAATATCTCAGGGAACCAGCTACACAATTGGATAAAAATAGAGCCCATTCAATTTCCTTTACAAAACTGAAATGTGCATGTCATTTCTTGCCAGGAACCAATAACAAGCAGAAACTGTGTTGCTATTTGTTGTATTTATCATACTGCTAAGGCCAAGACATCCACCCAATATATTTTAGTGACAAATTTATTCTGCACCCATTGCCACACAAAATAGAGGTCATAGGGATTACTTCTAATTTGATACTAAGGTATTTTTATTTTAAAAACTATCAAAACCCCAAGTCATTAAATCTTTTGGTTTATAAATCCCCGAGACTATTGCAAAGCCAATGGAGGAGTCTATTATGAAACCCAGAGGAAATAGGCAACTTCGTCCAGGTCAACGGGATAGTCTGTGAGCAGCACCGGGGTCTTCTCAAACAGCTCCCCCTTGTAGCTGCGCCATTTGCCTGCCGGCAGGTAGACGTCGCGCTCCTGCTTGCCCATCTCCAGCACGGGGGCCACCATGAGGGTGTCCCCAATGAGGAACTGGGAGTCAATTTTGTGAGCGGCCTCGTCGCGCGGGGAGATCCACCAGATGGGCCGGATGATGGGGTCGCCCGTGTCCGTGACCTCCCCGGCCAGCTCCAGCAGCAGCGGAGCCACCAGCGAATCGTG